TTTGAGCTAAGGGCAGAGGGGAGTGATGCTTCAGATGATGTCGATAGGAAACGAGGTGGGAGGGAAGGGGACGCTGGTTACTTTCAGGTGAATGATGCGATTGGTTTTCGTAGCTCTGAGTGGCCAGTAGGGAATGCGAGTGGAAGCAGATCGCACGAGGGCTCAATTCAAAGAGCGCCACACACCGGCAGATTAGTATTTAGATCACTGGTGAGTGAGGGAGGCGAGAGGAAATGTCGGCAATTTCGATTCGAGGTGAGGAACGGTGAGCCCTCCTGAAGCGAGTCGTGTGTTTCTGAGTAAACACGAGCGAGCTGAGCAAGGACGTCTTTTCTCGCTTCGGACGCCGGCGCGTGTCTATGTTAATCTCGATTGGAAATCGCTGGGATTGTCAAACATGTAACTACACATCCTGGAGCGAATATCCTGTGCCCGCCTTTTCCGCGATGAACTTTGTATTTGCTCTTCATTCCACCCTATATGCTCAACTTCAGAATCGCTGTACGGGGCGCATCCGACGAAGCTTCGAAATGTTTCAATTCTCAGCTCGTCTCCGACATGATGAGTCCACGGAATCGATTCATCGACGAGGTTTTCGCCGCAGGCTCCTACGCTCGACCTTCGGGAGGAGTCTCGATCTCGGTTGGATTCGACCACTCTGGGATGCTTCAGGAACTCGGTGCGCGCCACTGTGGAAAAATTCAGCGAGCCTTTCCGCTTTCCCTGGTCACTTGGGTTACATATGTATCTTTGAATGAGGAACTACCGTGTGCCATGTTTCTCTCGGGTGGGTATCGGAGTCGCTAGCGAAAACCATGTAGTTCAAACGCTCGGAGCTGCTCGCTTGGAGCTCATCGCTCAGTCCCGTGCCGAACATTAAACCCGTGGACACGTGCCAAGACATGCAGTGATCACTAGCTTGGCCGACTGGCAACAGTGACTGATAAACTCCGAATCTTACTAGTCGCTCGCCGAAAGTTTCGATGTACGGTGTGTCTGTGTGTTGGCTCGTTCCCTGTCAACTCGTAGGCAGCTAGGTAGTTCCACTACATGTATGTGTGTTTGTGGATGTGTGACGCCGCTCGAGAGAGATCCTGCAACAGAGCCAGCGAGCTTGTTGTGACCGCTTCGAACATATCGGGGGCTACAGGAAATCAAACCAGAAGTCGGAAGCCGTGATATCGCTCCCCTGTTTGTACGCATTCGAGCCACTCATCAACAGTCTGCTCGGAGTGGATATCTGAGTTCAATCGTTCACGGGGTTTCGCGATATATTCGATCCTGCCTAGCTCGGGAGACCTCAGACACTAGATCATAGTGAAAGGGAAGGAATTTGCCCGATTTCTGGCTTCCCGGCTCCTAATCTCGAATCCAAATTCAGAATTCAATGCTACGGCTCCTCCGAGGCTTCGAGGTGTACTGGTTTGTATCGTTTAATAATTTATATTAATAATCGTTTAATAATTTGTATCGTTACAGTGATATTATCGGGGTAAGAAACTTGAATTCCGAGGCAGCCGGGCTCAATTGATACCAAACCAACTCCGGATAAGTGCGGAAGAGCGCCCGTGAGAACTCGGAGCGATCTTGCCTTGATTCCTTCCTGAATTTCCTTCTTCCCATTTTAGTCAGTCAGAGGTATGAGCAGCTAATCGCTCTAGCTCAACAGTGTTCAAGCATCGCCCCGATTCCGGAGAACTCCGAGCTTGGGTGAACGTAACTGAAAAAACAAAACAGGAATCCTTTTCCCAGGATACTTCACGAACTATTGAAGGGCTCCAAAGTATCTGACGAGAACTCGGGTCTCTCCCGTGGCCAATGGATGTACCGGAGCGAACACCGGCGCCCGTTCCCCATTTGAGCCCAGCAGAGCAATCCGGTGGTCGGATGAACGGAGGACTGGATGCGTCGATGGGTGGATGCTCATTGCGTCGTCATCGAGCGCGCTCTTCACGAACCAGCACACTTGTTGAAAGAATCTCTTCATCGCTGCGGAGCGCTCGTGTGAGAGGGCGCTCGCTCGCGTGGACTCGTGAGCTCCTAATCCCGAGCCAATAATCCTCAGAGCGTGTCGAGGCTTTCACCATAGAGCTCGTTAAATGAGGGCAGGCCAGAGATTGAAAGCTTTTAATGTTCGTAGTGGTACTATTAGGAACAGAATTGTCGATGACAAAGAACGAGCGTGACTTCGAGATTCTAATACTTTTGCGGGACAAACCCTCACTTCGGATTGAGGAGCTTCTGTTTCATAGAGCATATGCCTGGATCGGAAGCCCCAAGTCGGGGCACGCAACGTGCGCCTGACTTTCGGCGGACGTCGGACTCGCCACTGCATTCCGAACACCGTTCCCCCCGAGTCCGATGAGGGATCCAGATATCCGGCTGAGAGGTCTGCACCCCGGACCGTTATAAATGTCAATGTCAATTTTGTAATATTGTGCTCAGCGTGTGCCTCCTCCCTAGGGGTCTGTGTCCCTGTCTCTGTTTTCAATAAGGATTCCCTTGCCGTTGAGTCGGAAGATCATCGGCTAATAATGAAGCCACCTGTGTCGCGGCCATCGCAGGAGAATCGATTGCTTTCGGGAGATCGCTGCAAAAACAAATACGGATGAAAATGTAATGGAACCAATAAACGCACCCTGACGACGCTAAGTCAACAAAGTGTTTCAGAGGCGAAGTCGGAGCTGGTCGGAGCTCTAATCCGGAGTCTGAGCCATCCTCGAGAATCCGGAATCGGACCATCCTGATCGGTATCCCGATCTCGTTTACGGGGAGATGAGATCAGAATCGGTCCAGCATCTCTCCATCCCAATACAAGGTCGAGGGCAAAAGATATGATCTAGCGCTGGTGGTCTTCTCGAGTCTACTTCGAACGAGCTTCGAGTCGTGGGGAGGCTATGAGGGGGGTCCATTCGAGGGGTTATTCATGATCATGTTGGTTCTATGGATGTATCAGGGGTTGTAAACTGGTCACCGACGTAGATTATCATGTTCAGGGACCAGGGATCAGATCGGGGTACGGCGGTCGGAAATGTAAGAGGGATACCTGCCTACTTTGAAGCCGCCTAGAAAGCGGGGGAAATAGTTTCTGCCAAAAGTTAGATCCGTATTCAGCCTTCGACGCGTGAGGAACGTGTCCCGGGTCGGCTGCTCCTTTCCCCCCAGAACGGTGTACTCCGAGCAAGAGTCGAAGATTCATGTCTCATCACTTGCGAATTTCCCCGGAGATTCACCTTACGTAGGAAGATGCGCTTTCCGAGCTCACATTATTCACCGGAATATTTTTGGATCATACTACTGGGAGTGACGACTCTTCAAAGCACTTTCGCTCCGGCTCGGTATGGAAAAAGAACTAGCCCCTCCTCACGATTCTGGGTCCTCGATATCGCTCACAAGCTGGCAACCGGATCGCAGGACAGGCCCAGACGTTTCCTTCACGCTGCCGTCGTTCGTAGCAGTGCCTGTGCGTGAGGCGCCCGCTGACTGACCCGAGCCCATCAGATTCGATAGAATGACAAAATAAGGTTGATCCATCCTTATCTGACCTTCGGGAGCCTTGAATAGCCCTCCAACCCGAAGGACGGACGAGCTCGAGCCCGCCCTCCAGATCCCGAATTTTTCCGCGAGCTACGGACCCTATTGGAGCTGCCTCGACTACAATGAATAGCGGTCGACGCACGTTTGCTGCGCGATCATTGTTCCTCCTCGGCGAGGATCCGTATCGACGGTAGCTTGCCGAGTTCGCAACGCTAACCCGCTGCTCAATCCTGATCCTGGTTGAGATATCATGGGATATCTCCCACCGACGTCGAGTCGCTGAGCTAAAGAGAACGTCCTCGCGGAACGCTTCTTTTAGAAACCCTTGTGGACCATCGGCGCCAGCGAAAAAATCAAACAGCTCTCACGAGGGTCTGGTCCCAACGACCCCGAGGACACGACAGGAGCCCGCCTCCGATCTCGCTCCGCGTTGGCTGGAATATTCCATACGAAGATTCAGCTGAGAGCGGGAAATTCTTCATCCGAGGACGCGCTCCTCTGTCCCGTGGATCGCGAACGGTCGAGACTCGAGAGGGACCGGCGCATTGCAGAGGACGGAGGACCGGTCAGACCGTCGGCCCACGGTCGGAAAAACGACATGTATCGGAATCCGGTCCGGAGCAGGGGCCCTGAATCATGCTCAAGAGGATCCTTGTTTGTTCCCCCTCCGGAACGTGCCAAGCGGAGGGGCGAGTCCCGGAAGGTGGGGGTCGACGCAGAGAGGAAGAGCAGGCATCTGTCTTGGGCAAAGTACGGGACGTTCTCGTCCCACGACGGAAAGTCCCTCCAGAACTCTCGACGCCGAGGTTCGCTAATGGCTGATGGCTGTCGTCGGCCGCTGCACCGATGCAGTCGCTAATCTCTGCAGCAGAGACAGCGAGTGGGCGTCGGGTCCGCTCTGAGATTTGAGGCGTGGTTTGGTCCTCCCGCAGCCATTGGCTCCCCCGGCGCAACCCCGTTGCGAGGATTGGTCCCCCGCGGGGGAGCCGGTCCAATTCGAGCGCTGCTTGAGGGCCACGCATGCGCACTTGGCTATTTGCTGCGGGCGGTACGGATATGTGAAATAGTATGTTATAGCGGAAGGAAGGAAGTACTTTCAATAGGCTGGCGTGTTCAGTGCACACCGGACGTGCATCTCAGGAAACGATCGACGGATGCGGCTCGACGAAGAAGACGCTGACTGAAAAAAACTGTGAAAAGTGAACAACAACAACAACGGCAGCAGCAGCAGCAGAAACGACGACGGCGTCGACCACCGAAAGAACATCTGGTCAACCAGTTGACGATCTTCCGAACGAAGTTGTTGAATCTCGAGAGCTCGTCCTTCCGAAGAAAGAAAGGTGCCCGCCCGACGTATTGTGTGCTCTGATCGCGACGCAAGCCGCCGCCGCCACCCGTCACTTGCCGGTGCTCCTCGTTCACCGAGACGAAAATTAGTTCGAAGACCTTAATCGAAATCTACGCAGCCACTTCGACACTTCCCGTCCGCAGTCGACGCAGTAGATCTAGTGATGATGCTTACAGGTATGTGGAACCAGTGTCGAGAACGAGTTAGTCACGAGCGCCAATGGCGAATAGGTGATCCGCGGGAAAAATCGTCGATTCTGAGATTTGGAACGACGCCGACTGCTCAGAAACACTCCAGCCGAGATTTAAACGAGCTGCGAGACAAAAATTCGTGCGATTGGGGTGTCGGAGCGGGATTGGAGCCAGAACTCTGAGCTGACTCGATACCCCGACCTCAGGGGGACCTTGCTCCGGTCTCGCATAATGGCCGAGCCGAGTCCCTATCGACAGAGCGGTTCACTTTCACTCACTCAAAGTTCCATGGTCCGACCTGTTTCGCGGTCCGGAGCAGATAGAGAGTGGGGATGTTCTGTGACTCGACAATCATGACAGAACGAGGCTCTCAGTAGAATTATCCTCTGAGCACGATCGGAACCGGAACATTTCAAAGAATTTTCGAAGACAAGCCCCGAAAATCGGTACGAAAAAAAATCCTAGGTAGGGCACGAAATTCTTGTGGAAGAAGAAGCTAGTGCATGGTAGCTCTCACCGGCGGCCGCGAAGGGTCGACCCGCGGCAAACCCATCAGGCAGACCAGCGGTTGAAGGTCGGATGTGAATATCCATGATTCCGTCCTAACCTCGGAATCGATTCATCCGGTCTACCGCGAATCGGGAGCAAAAGTGCGGGCGGGAGCGGATTTATCCGCGAGGTCTATCTCTCTCGAGAGAAGTAATCCCGAATAATTCCAGAGAAACTCTGTCTGCGACCCTCACTGGATCGAAAATCGGAGCCGCTCGACCAATCTGCCCGGTGGGCGCGTAAATTCCCATGGAGAGCCCATCCCAGGTTTTTCCCCTGGAATTCGGGGCTCTGACTGAGAAAATTTCACCCGAAGTCGGTATTCCGAAGAGAAGATGCGCTTGTTGCACCGACACCGAAAGTTTTGTTCCTGCGATACGCCAAACCAGAAAAACCACTTGGTGTCATGGCCACGGCACGTCAGCGGTCACTTAGGTCTTGAGCGGGAAGGCGACATCACTTTTTATTCGACATCGAGCTCGTAGACGTGCGGTCCATTATGGCGAGGGAGCCACCGTCAACTTCCGGACTGCGCGAGGTTCCAGCCCTCCCCCGATCGCCGCTTGTTCGGTGTGCCTTTGGCCTGGCTCTGCTCGAAGCCTCCTGAAGCTACACAGCCAGTTCCCACAATCAATTACAGCGCACGGGAGCGACTTACAATGAGAGTCGGCCATTCTCCGCCGACTGACTCGCAGTCTTGTAATTGGCACCGAACTCCCCCGCCAACTCTCTCTCTCTCTGACTTTGTGAGAATATCATCACGGGATGAACGATATGTTTGACAGCTATTCAGACGCGGTGCTATTCTTCATTTCATGCAAGCATAGCAAACGGCGTCTCGAACACCAAAGTCAAAGTCACTCGGAGTGAATTCTGACCGAGCGTGCGCCGCCAAGCGACGACCTCTCTCCCTCGAGCTGGGATTCCTTCCTTATCTTGTGTTTTCGGGGATTCCGAGACGAACACGTTCTCATTCCCTCCATTATTTTCGAATCACCCCTTCTCTCATGGATGAATTTTTTGTTTCGTCCCAACTCGACGCTGATAGAAAGTTATCATCGCTGACGATCACACACGAGCCCTGAAAACAACGATGAGAACAAAACTGGTCTTTCTAGAACCCAACTATCGGAGCACGTGGGCGTCGTCGTCGCCTTCTCCACCCCACGGCGTCGGCAGCGGCGCCACGGTCCTAGGCAGCGGTCAGATTCAGCTATGGCAGTTCCTCCTGGAGCTACTTTCCGATTCTTCAAACGCCAATTGCATCGCGTGGGAAGGCAGCAATGGAGAGTTCAAGCTCACCGATCCCGATGAAGTAGCTCGTCGTTGGGGAGAACGCAAAAGCAAACCCAACATGAACTACGACAAATTGAGCAGAGCTCTCCGCTACTACTACGACAAGAATATCATGACCAAGGTACGTGCCGCGACCATCCAACGATCGTGGAGCAGCGAGAGTCCCGTGTGGGGCTCGGAATCGACTGGACGAGGTCATTAAATTCCCTCCCCCTCCGTTTCCAGGTGCACGGTAAACGGTACGCTTACCGCTTCGATTTCCAAGGACTCGCCCAAGCAACACAACCCCAAGGACCGTCAGCGCCACTCGGAGTCGGATCGTCTCTGGATCCTGTCGGTGTCAGCTCACCCACGTCGGCTGTCGGCGTTGGCGTGGGCAGCATGGGACACCATTCCCAGTACTTCCAGAGCAAGTACCACCCGAGTTCGTCTCACAGCGAGCTGTTCAGCCAATCCGCCACGCCGTACCACGCGCACGCAAAACTAAACTTTAATTCTTCTGGACTGTTTGCACCGAATTATTGGCCAACAAATGGAGGTGAGTGTTCGATTCAGCCTCGATAATTTATTTTTGTTCCGATTTTTATTTTTCATTTTCATCTCGATTCGAGGATCACGATAATTTCTTTCATTTCTCCCCGTAGGAGTCTGGGAACCACCGAGCTGCAGCAGTGGACACGGAGCATCGTACGGCTACCCCTGGCCGGCGAGTTCCGCGCCGTCTTGCGCAGCGCCTCCACCTTCGCTGAATTTGAATAGTCGGACGACACCCTCAAGTCCACCGACCTCGAACGTAGACTCGATTATCAGCTCATCGGCTGGTGGTCTCACCTCGGTTAGCAACAGCATAGCCTCTTCTTTCTCGGCCTGAGCTAGTGTTAATCGAGGTGACGCCTAACAGGGTGGAGATTGCAACAGTGCAAATAGTCCGAATGTGATTATCCACACGGCCGGTGTCGGCAAGCGGCAGAGATCGAATTCGGAGCCCGTTCGTGTCAGGAGGAATAGCTCGATTCGGCTTCAGAATCTCTGCTGCTACCGACATCGGATCGGGCCGAGTCATTCTCGACCAATTCCACGAGCGTCGTCGCATGCAACACACGGTCGTCGTATTCGATCCGTGGTCGCTGATCTCTTGCAATAAGCGACTACTGAAGCCAATGCCAATCGAACAGCGCGAGTTCTATACAAGGAGAGAAATTCCTGAGACTGTTCATCATGTATTGTGTAAATAATTGTGCTGGTGGCCTTCTGTCTAGGACCAGGCAGGGAAGATTGCCTTGGAGAATATCCAAACACGTACTGCGTGTGAAAGAACACAAAGCAGATAACGAGGAAGACGAGGACGGAGGTAATAATAACAATAACTGAAACACTGAGCAACAATAAACAACAACAAGTGTCAACACCGTATGAATTTTCCCGAATGTTTGTCGCACAGTCCCTGCACTGCGCTGAAGCTGAGACTGTTTCGGCGCCTATTAGTTCGTTGCGTCGACGGGGGGCGGGGGCGGCTCGCGAAGAAACAGGACCGGAAGGGATTGTTCCCTCCATAAATAGTTTATTATAGATATTTTTAACATAGTATATAATCTTGTTTTAGAACATTTATGGGGAACTACTCAAAAATTGGCAGTTCCTCCCATTGGCAGAATCACGTAGCAGAATCTCTCCGACGAGAAATGTGATCTCAGCATAATCATCACCGAACGTTTCACCATGACCAGGTTCACCCAATCTCTGGGCGAATTCGCGTACATGGAATCCGAGCACTCGTCGAAATCATCTCTAGCGTTCGTCGAAAACGGTCCGGTCGAATTTACGGGTCGGGTTTCTGATAATTGTCCAATCCTTGAGGACATTGCGACGGCAAGTCGCCCATCCACCTACCGGATCTGCACATGAGCCGGCGCGCAAACTTTTGGTAAAAACCTCCTTCTGGGGGTCTACAATAATAGTCTACGAAAGCTCCATCAGCACCTTCGTAATACAACATATCGTCTCTGTGAGGAGCCGGTCCGCAGCTCGAGCTGGAGCGTGGGGTTGGTCTAGAGGGCACTGCTGTTGGCGGAGGTGGACGGGTAGGCGGCGCAGTGGGACGGGAATCGCCGCACGATTCAGGAACGAAACCTTGCCACCGGCCGTCGACACACTTCAAGAGGTAAGAACTTCCGCGGTCGGGGCAACTGTATTCAACGAAACCCAAGCCGAAAGTCACCGACATGTCGTGGCGGTATGGGGGTGCCCGACATTCCTGGGCGGCGAAGGCCGCCGATTGTAATAAAGTCACAGTCAATGCTAGTACGTAGATCATGATGATTCAGTGAAGATCGCGAGTTTGGCGCTTTCTTTTTATAGTTCCAGTAGCCCTCTCTTATACAGTCCGTCGGTCGTTGCGCGCCGATCTTCCTCTGAAAGAAACAGGTCAAGTTTACAGCGGGATGACGTCATCCGAACGAAGCTCATATTTTAACGCACTCCATCGACGACGACGACGACCCGTTTACTCGAAATGATGATGATAAACAATGAAGGCTCGCTCTCTTTCTCCTTCTTTCCGTCGTCATACTAGTTCCCTTCGATATCGTTGACTCTGATTGGCTCTGAATGCATTCGGGATGAGTCGTCGGCTCAACAATACCGATAGCTTCTTCTATTACGACAGACTGACTGAGAAGCTGCTCAAAGACAGCAGGCATACGGTCTGTTGAAGTGAAGAAGTCTCGCGTGGTCCTTCTCTCCCTCGGGCTTCCTTGCGAAATCTCCGAAGTGAGAACTCGTCTGACCCTTCCGAGTCGAAATTCCGGGGTTTACGCACATAGACTTGAGGAATGAGCCATTGCTTTCCTTAAGAGGACTCGAGGCGTCACGCGACTTAATTGATCAAGCACTGGCCCGTATGTTTCAGGCGGAGTGAAGGAAAACAGAAAACGGGTCTGTCCGAACCCAAATAAGAACTTCACGGACTCGAGCCATACGAGACCAGAGTCGCGGAACTCAAGGGAAAGTTTGCTCATTTCACGAATTGAGGACAATCAAAATGAAGCCTGAGCTGACGTCGGGATACCGACAGACAGTCCATTGGACTGCAAACAGACTCTCAAGCCCTCAAGTCTAACGGATGCCGCATCGCGTTAGGGAGAGCCTTGACCAGCATCTCAATCTTCGTTAGCTTGATTCATCTATTCCAGAACTGGAGGGACCACATCTAACCGCGATGCTCGGAAGGTCGTTCCGACGGTGCTGATGCTTTCTATTGCATCGAAACCTCGAGGGAGATTCGAGAACCTCGCGAGGGTTTCGAGAAGAGGGGTTTTGCTCTCACCGTCCTTGGAACAAACTATACACGCATAACAACGCGAAGGTTCCAGGACTCTCAACAAGCTTGAGCAAATTTTAGAGGGAATATTCAGTGCAGGGAGCTCTTATCCGCGAAAGATCGCTGCGGCCCGCAAAGGACCGTGTCCAGGGAAAGTAGAGCCGGCGCCTCGAATGATTCTCTAAACGTGTCCCAGAGTCCCAGAGCGACCAGAACTCCTATCGGAGAGTCCGGAAACGAGCCTCATTAATCTTTCATTACGACCTGTATAAATCCGTGTGCATAAATCGCAACTGAACTGCGAGCCTCATTGATGATCGATCCGATAGTAAACGTTTGCTGTGTAAAAGCGGCCCGAAAATGAGAAGCTCCAGCAGCTTTGGTAGTACGTCTGATCTGCGTCTGGCAGTTTACTTCAAGGCAACGCTTCTCTATTCGATCTCTAAAGCCAGTTAAGAGACCGGCGGTCTTCACCAGATCGGATTAGCCCGTTTCATCACCCAGGCTTCATCGTCTCTCTCGGCGAGAAACAGACTTCCGCGAATTCAGAATGAACCACGCGAATTGGGAACGAAACACGACAACCCTCGAGAATCCTCGCCGCATGGTGTGCCGGCCATCGGTTCTGTCCGGAGCGTCTGATTTGAGAGAAATGATTGTACGGATACCAGGTGTACCTCCAAATTGGCGTTCGATCTATACAAACCATTTTTCCAATCAATCAGTCAATCAGTCAATTGCCAAGTTCATCCATGGATGGCTTCCCTCCAGAAAAACTTTTCTTCCCCGGGGCTCCCGACGACCCAACCGGGAATGTGCGGTCGGGGAGAACATTCCCGATAGATCCAGGGAAAAACGAAGTCTGCGATCCACTTTCGCAGGCCAAACAAGTAACAAGATTTCATTTTCTATCTGAATTCTGTGGACTTCCGAAATGCCACAGCGAATGGAACTGGACCGACTACGGAGAAGTCTGAAGAGCATTCACGAGGAGGGGGGAACCGTGACCAAGTGAGCTCGAGCTTATTGCACCAATTCCAATGATAATCCTGGGAGAGATGTTTCCACCCGCACCATACAGTTCATCTAGCTCCTCGGTTTTCCAGAAGCATGACAACGAACTCACAAGACGCGAAAGAGACCGTTCGAGAAGAGATGCCCATGCTGAAAAAGAGCTCCCTGGATCGCGAAGCGGGAATTCCGAGCTCTGAGCGCGGCGAACATGTACAGGAACCGCGCAGAAATCGACGACGAAGACGACCGGATGTGGGCGATTCGCTAGTCCCAACGTCTGAGTCTCACTCAGAAGCTGAAGATAAGAAAAGTGTCGATCGAGAGGAAAGGACCATTATAAAATGATCGCAAATCGGAGGCGGTCGAAATCGGAAACAGTGGGTCAAATCTCATCTGTAGGTGTCATACAAATGGCCTATATTCAATGTCTTCACCGGTGAGCGGAGAACCGCGAATAAAAATTCCGGGAATCTATGCCTCGGCGTAGTGCTCCCACATGAGCTCGTCCTGAGTAGCGGACTGGACCCTGTATCTCACCCGAAGGGAGAACCCTGAGATGAGCGAGTCTCTTCCATGTTCAGGCTCGGTCTTCGAGACCTGAACACTAGCCGAGAAATATCCAGCGAGGGACGCGAGAGAATCGGACGAGGGCGATGCTCGGCACGCCGAACTTTCACGAACGATTCATTCAGATGGGACACACTGACCTTTATTCTTGTCGGTTCATGTACATTGCAGGCAATGTTCTCAGACGCAGATATAATTCATGATGTCCGTCGCTCCGTACTCCCGACGCTGATCTCGTCCAAGGATTTCTTCTCTCACTCCGAGCTCGAATCATCTGTGAACCATTCGAGAGAAGTATGTATTCCCAGCTTGTGTACGTTCCGCGGAGACGTGATCGACATCCCACGGCTCCGCAAGTTTCTCTGCTGTGCACCATCGACTCTTCAATTATTGTCGCATGTGTCTCGGAAGCTCATGGCTCCGAGGATAGCCGCTGACCGGGAATCGGGCAAAGCGTCTTCACCGGGCCTCGAATACGATCTTAATTGATCCCATTAGACACTAATTCACCTGTATTCGCTCCGACTCTCCGATTATCCTCCGAAAGATACAGTTCATATTGATTGCCCATCGACTCAGCGCATCCAGACTTTCAATGTCTCGAGTATAGTGAAATCTCATGGCATTCGGAGAACCATGGATGTCTAACTGACTGAGCCGAAAACGGGGCAATAGAGAATGGTCGCCGTCCCCTGATGAGATTGCGGCGTTCGATTCTGCATATGCTCTCCTCGCGAAAGTTATAGTCTTCTAGGATAATGACAGCGTGGCAGGTTGAGCTCGGAGTAGTGGAAACCAATAAGGTTAAGCCCCCGGCTATCGCGTATTCTGTATCCATCCCTTCTGGAACGTTGCAGATTGGACTTTGTAGGGTGGGGTGTTCGAGGAGGGAACGAACTACTACGCTGCTCTTTCCATTCGGCATTCCACTTCCCGGAGACGTGTTGACTGCGGGGACAATCGTAATCCATTGAGCGGACGCTAGACACGCTCGAGGCTGTAGGAGAATGCCACATTCTTCTGTGAATTATTGTCGATTTCCCGCGAAGTCGGGAAATCGGAGGCACTGGCAGCAGAGCGTCATTTCTGGCAGCTTTCGGACCTACGGCTCCGAGCGCTTCGAAAAAATACGTTTTTCTGCTTCTTCGGCGGGCCATGCTCCACTTACAGAAGTCGGTGAAAGTGGATCCCCGTCTCTTTCTCCACTAATGAAGCGAATCTTCCGCTGACATGGTGTTTCGATGCTGTTTTGTCCACAATGTTGCTATCACCTTACGCCGAACGTTTCCAAAATACGAAGAAGTTCCCTCAAATAGTTTGACTTGACTGCATGAATCGTGTTGAAGCTGGGAAACCCGATCCTCGCAGCGATGTTCTCATCAGTTCTGTCAGAGAACGCGCCCGGAGAGCTGCGGTCTATGGGTTTGTCATGTCCCTTCTGGTTTTCTCATTCGTAGTTTGCTTTTTGAATTTTGTGCGATCATGTCCAATGTACACTGTGAAGGACGGGAGGGATGTCACCCCACCGCACTGCCTACCCGGTCTGTTGCTCTATCCCCCATGGGACGCCGCCACTCTGGATGTTTCCTTCAAACTCTACGATAACGTGAGTAGGAGTTTGGAATTTACGTCGTGATTTGTACTCAGCTCCTCTGGATTACGCCTCATTCATTCGTGGAGATCGTTTATCTTTGAGCTCGTCCAAGGAAAGATTCCGATTCCGGAAAATTCAAATTCTGCCATTCTCCTAGCTCAACAGAGATGCGGTGAAGGTACTCCGGTGGGACGAGACATTTCCCGTGAACGATCTCGTTCTGGGCGCTACTGACAAACTCGTGGTCATCATTCACGGCTACACTGAGAATCCCGATGAAGCCTGGATAAATAGGATGCGGGACGCTTACTTCAGGAGACCTGAGATTAGATCGGTGGGTTGACTGGCCAGAAGGGAAAGTCAGCTGAGTTGGATGATTAGCTTGCCGTCCGCCGCTTATGTAATACCGTGTTTTTGTACGCAGATCAAATGGATTTCCGTCGACTGGGAGAAAGGTGCTCTCGGCTCAACATTGTTATTCCCACGGAACTACGTGCAAGCTTCGAGTAATGCTCGTGCGGTCGGTATGATCCTTGGAACGTTCCTCGGGAGACTGATGATGGCCTACGACATCGGAGAAGAATCGTTGCATATCCTAGGACACTCCTTAGGGGCTCACGTGATGGGCGGGGCGATCGAAGTCCTTCATCGAAACTTCAATATAAAGGCTGGCAGAGCGACTGGTTAGTGGATAGAGCGGAAACTCACAAATCCTGATATTATCGTCCTTGCCCTGCTATTATCCGGTTGACCGATACGCCAGATGCCTCCCGATGCAACCGTGGATGACCAATGTTTTCGATTCACGTAGCGTTCGATGCGGCGTCGCCTCTCTTCGAATGGAAAGGAATCGTCCCGAATCGAGAACATACTCATTTTCTCGAGGCACTTCACACCTCGGCTATGACTAGCCTTCCCGGTCTGCTTAGGGGACAGGTTGGAATCTATCAAGCGTACGGCCACATCGATTTATATCCGAATGGTGGATCTCTATATCAGCCCGCATGTCGAGGTGATTCTCAGTTCTGTCTTTCACTTGAATTTCGATACGGAATACAAAACGAGTTTTACGCGCGAGTTTTTGGTGACGGGGAACTCCGGCGGGAAGAACTCAGTGAAATTCTTGACTCTATCTGCGACTTATTTATTTTTCAGCCGCAAACTTTTTCTTCTGCTCTCATCGACGCGGTTATATATACTACACGGATATGCTCTTGCGATGTGTAGGGCCCTGCGATGCCCTGGGCGTCGAATGCAGGAATGAGCGTGAGGCCGTCAACGCGGCGTGTTCAGGACAAAGGCTAGGAGTGTGCGATCGGGTCCTTAGGAAGGACAACACGTCGAGAATTGTATATTTTGAAACGGACCTAGATCGTCTTGATATTAGGTGTAGGAATTGATACTCCTTGATTGGTAGTAAAAGAAGTTAGATCTCGAATCTCGCATTCTGCATATCAGTTTTGAGGTCGTCGGTTCTGCAGCTGATAGTCTGGATGAGGAGCAGGATGACTCCCAAATAAACGAAACGAGCCAGCTCGCTTTTTGGTAGTGAGACGAGTCCATGCCTGATTTGGGATCTTGTTTAAGCTCGGGCGAGATCGGGAAGCGGCTATAATTCCGACCCGGAGACACCTCTTTAGGGTCGGACTCCCGATAGAGACTCCGAGGGCTGGTCCCGAATCGGCGCTACATGGGTGTTTTTCAAGCCATTGTACCCGACGCCGACTTCAGGTCGAAGTTGAGGGCCGCTCGAGAGTTCACGTTCGAGTAGCTCCCTGATTCGATCTTCGCAGAGGCCCTTGTAATTCAACGATACGATACCGAAATACCCGAGCTCTGGGGCCTACATCTCGAACCGCGATCGCTTTGAGCGGCTCAGAATTGGAGGGATGAAATTCAATTCGATTCGTAAGAGAAGGGTATGATTCCCCCCGAATCGCTACCGAGGGTGAAGTCAGTACTTCAAACTGATGGAAGTCGGTCAAAGCAGCGGTCGAGACCGCGGAAAGACCATCGGACCATCGGTGACGCGAGTATTGCTGTTGGGTCAGCTCTCAATAAACGAGGGTCCATTTACCAACCAGAAAGGGAGCAGCGCGCTTTCAGGTTCCGCTATATTCCGGCTCATAAAGGATATCATACCGATCATTCCTACATGCAACTAAAAAGCTCCTATGCAACGATTATTCCTCCTCAACTCAGAATAAGAGACGGAATTTAATGTGCCTGGATCGCGCTCCAAGCGTAGGTGTTTTCCCGACATGGAAGATGCAGGTTCTAGCTTCTGTCGAACTTCGTCATCAACTCCATGGAAGCCGCGCGGTACGGGTATTAGAACGACTTCGTCTTCTCCTTCAGATAGCTCAACCTGGATCAAGGCTCGAGGTGTCCCAATGAAATCGACTGGTGGTCGAATGCTCAGCACGTCTGACAACCCTTCTGCGGAAAAGCGTAGCCGCAACGAGGACGCTCGTTCGGAAGGAGGCGTGGGTTCAATCCCTGGTGCCTGCCAAACATGCAGGTGCACGGCCTCGATCCTCGTCGGTACATTCGCTCTCTGGATCCGTCCTCGGAAGCGAGATCAGAAACAATCATCCGGAGCGTTGTCCCTCGGCTGTGTGGTCCAAAGCGAAAAACTTCCGGGTTTCAAATGAGTTCGCCAGAAAATGGAAGAGACGATTCAGTCTTGATGGATTCTGTCAGAGCGCTAGGAAGAACTGAGTGAGTTAGCGCGAAACACGGCTGAAGACGACAGAGCACGCTCCGATTTTGAACTCGCGGGTACACAGGGGAACGACGCCGCTGACGAGGACACTCCCGCAGGCTCGGTGAGTTCTCTGGAATGCGGAATTTCGCTACGCAGAGTAAAGAGCATAGGACATATCTTCGCCCGAGTTTCAGGCGGCGGCCTGGGAGAATGGCTCATTCGAGCTCTCGTATGGTGCTGATATTTTGTGATCACAGGAGAGTTCATTTTCGTGGTTACTTTTATTATAATCAGACATCATATACCTACTCACCTAAATTATCTTCCGCGAGAAACCAATATGGCCACCCGACATCGAACCCTGGCATTGGGAAGATAGGAAAGGCTCCGTTATATACAAACGACATCACTTCCTCGAGGGCGAGCGCATTCGTCCTCGCCACGTCCTGATGAGTCAATCTCGACGCCCATAAACACTTGTATGATTTACCTAAGATTTTCGGGTTTGTTATTGCGTCGTGTGATAAGCGCGCGAGACAGAGCTCCAATGACTCTCTTGTGTGACGCTCCGTGGATCTCTGGGATTCTGCGTCGTATGGAGCGCTGACGAGATAGGACGCTGATGATTCTAGAGCTTGTGACTCCGGAGACTCCCGGAGGTCTGCGCTGAGTTAGGCGCGTATGAGCTGAATCGAATACCAGGCGGGGTTGCCGATGTAGCAGAAGACCCAACCTAATTCGGAGCAGGGCAAGAAGTCACTGACTAAGTGAAGCTCCCCTGATGACCGTCGACGGAAGACAAATTCCAAACTTATTGACTGCTCTTTCGTGGGCGTTCTATCGCGGGGCTTTTGCTCCGGTCCAGATGACCATTTGGAGAGACATATACTGGTGTTTTTCACAAGACTATTGGTTTCCAACCTCATCCTGGAGCCGAACGGCATCCTTCTGACAAATTGGTCCGAGCAGCACACGAGAGAGCTGCGGCTAAAAACATTCCTTGCTTCTACGTAGATTATCTCGTTGTAATCGGTCGAGGGTGATGGCAAGATCCTCGCTGCGTTCCTCATAAATAAAATTCGCGCTTTGATGGATCGAACTCGCGGTAGTAGCTCGCTACTACCGCATAGTTGCGTGGAAACGTCTGAAGTTATTGTGTAATCATTTTATAAATGTTATTATTATTATATACGCCAACAGTATTCACCCAGAGGTGAAGATTTATGATTCTGAGAATGTCGTCAATCAGCTTTGCGTTTTGCTTCTTCCTTGAAATGCTATCGCGAAACATAGGATTTCTTTTTCCGATATCTCCGATCATTTTAATACTTTCCGCGTCGAGCATTTCGGGAACGGTGGTAATCTTGATCAACTGTTGAACTTTTATTGACCTCTCGGTTATCTATAGAATGATCAAGTTCTCGGCAGCCTTACTCTGGATATCCCCTTCTCTCGTGCCGGACTTCGCTCCGACATGCTGATCATGGACTTCAGGTCTTCCTTGCCTGGCTATTCAATTTGATAGCAGATCCTTCGATTCCGAGCGCCGGAGCAGGGAAGACTCACTTCGGGCCGCAAATTCCCTCATCAATCTGCAACGCCTGAAACGGTGAGCGATGGTGAAGAACAAGAGCGCTACTCGATGTTCGCGTCGGAAACTAGCTCCAGAGCGAAAGCGTCATCCTCTTCGAAACTTTCCATGTCTCGGGTCAGGAGCAGATGACAAGTATCCTTCAGTCAGTTGCTGAGGCGTCAGTCCTTAAATTCGATGATAATTTCCCCCCAGCCGTCGAGCGTTCGGCACAACCCGCCGCGAACGAGACGGATTCGTTCTCTTTCTCCGAAACCTCGTAACCCATTCTACACTGCGTCGCCGGAGAATTATCTTCGAATTCCGATGTCGGACTGTTGGACTTCACAACATGCGTTCTACGATTTCGATACCAACGAGAATAGTGTGAGAACTGCCGCGGAACGAGCACCACAACGACGTACATCCCTTTTCAGAGAGAACTCCCCGCGCCTTGCCCAATCGAGAAGGAAGAACCTCTCGGATTCTCTGAGCACATCACATGATATTGCATCCGATGGACCTCGTTCCGAGTCTTTAGTTGACACTCCTTCCAAGACGAGAGACTTGGATGCAAGCATTTTTCTGCAGAGAGTAGAATCAATGTGAGAAGTCTCGTCCGTGACTCGTTTTAATGGATGTTTGAAATCATTCTCGAACTCCGTCAAGCTCTGCTCATCCGATGAGAGACGTCGAGACGAATGCGGCTTGCTCACACTAGGAAGTATGTACATACACTAGAATACGTTCTCAGGCTTTTCGATCGTCCTGATCGTGAACGTGATAAATTCTTGATGGAAAGGCACACGCGGAGCCTTGACGACCGGGCTTTTGCTCGCTCATGTAAGTCGAGACTCGTGACGCACGCATGGAGGGATAGGCGGGCTCTGGTGGGCGCGCAGCCGCTTTCTTCTCCTGAAAGAGGGCTGAACCGAGTCTCTCTCAATAGAGGAACGCAAGCGGATCAGAGGGTGGGGGAGACTTATTCTCCCTCCAGGGTTCCGACTGCCCCCTCTTGGAGAGCAGTACCAAGGTGATCCGCTCATTCCTCGGTGCATTGGACCCCCTTGAAGGATTTTTGCATCGTCTGTGTAGGGGCTGGAATCCCCGCGGCCGCTGGGGCGATACGGCTTTGCGTTCCGAAAAGCTAGAAGTATGGGAATCTTCGGGTAGGCTGACGTATCCGGCGGCTCCGAGAATCTCCGCTCCTTCCAGTGTGACTGGACCATGCGCTCACTGCGACCTCAGAAAGAGCTCGAATTTCTGAGGCTCTCAGTACTGACTCCCAGGAGCCTAACCGATTTTATTCAATCGAGAGTGACAGCAAGAAGAGGGTGAAAGATCCCGTCCGCTATGGAATTCGAGGGTGATACTCCGGAAGATCTCCCGTCGTTTCATTCATTGTATTGCC